CTGCTTGACAAACTGCACTGACTAGTCGACCAGGTGTTTTACCTGGTTCAATAATACCATCTAGTAGACATGGTCTAGAGGGGCGGGGTAAAAATCAAATAAATAAATAAATAATAAATAAATAAATAAATAGTAGTCAGCCTACCTCTCGACAACCATCAGTGTCGAAGTGGCCACATCACAGAGAGGTGACTATACCTCAACCTGCACCCCACTTGGTATTGAAAAAACCTCGGACGATCGAAGATTTCATCCTCAGCCTCCCAATACTTCCCTACTATAATAGATGACGGAAATCACTCTTCATGCTTGGCATTGCCAGCGTCCTTTTATTGTACTGCTATGCCATTGCATCAGCAACCTCTGTTTCAACATCACATAGACACAGGCTCTGATATCGACGATCCTCGATATTCATCCTGGTCCATGGACACACACTCCACTCTGTTACATCAACACAGTTCCCGTCCTCTGGTAAATCCAAGGCATCAAACCCGGCACCGTTATGACACCAAGTTTGACACTGAAGTCCTGATATCGACGATCCTCGATATTCATCCTGGTCCATGGACACACACTCCACTCTGTTACATCAACACAGTTCCCGTCCTCTGGTAAATCCAAGTCATCAAACCCAGCACCATTACGACACCAAGTTCAACATCGAAGTCCATCCCTACCAGTCGTGGTCCGTCGATGCTCAACCACCATCTTTCGATGTTGACAATCTTCAACATCGACAGATGTCCATGGACATGCCACCTCCATCTTTTTTTACTCTTAACTGGCAATACTACAAAACTCAGCCTCTTGACACCGAAGTCGATCTACAGTCCATCAACTCCAAACGCGACCTCGATGGCTCTGACCATGAATCTCAGCCACAGATTCCATCAGTATTACTTTCCTCTCCAGAGTCAGACATTGTTGATACTGACCTGCCATCACCGGCAGAGGATTTCCAGACCTATGCCCAACTTATGATTCGCATGGCTAAATCCCTTGATCTGCAGATCCATCAACCATTGACAGAACCAGCTGATCATCTATATGATCCAATCTCTAAAAATACAACCACTCTGGTACACATATTGATGTTGCCATCTCTCCTTAGTACTGCACAGAGATCCTGGACAAAACTAGCTTCCTCCCATTCCATGTCTAAGCGGATTGATAACCTCTATAGAATCCATGACCCAGGAGCCATTTTCCTCCAAAAACAACCAGTTCCAAATTCTGTATTTGTCGAAGCCTCTCAGTTGAGATCTCGACACCGACAAATTCTCATACCACCAAATAAAGACAGCCGACAAATAGACTCCATGGGTAGATGGCTTTACTCTTCTGCATCCTGTACCATGCAAGTCACTAATTACCAAGGAGCCCTGGGAGCTTCCCAATGCTTCCTCTGGGACAACATGTCCACCTTTATTGAATCCCTGCTAGAGGATAAAAAGATACTAGCTCAAACCTTCCAACAAGAAGGTCTCTCTGTTGCTAAATAACAGATGCTTTCTGCCCACCATGGAAACTACAGCCAAGTCCATGGCCACTTCAGTAGCCCCATGCCATTTTTACTGGCTAAGAACGTCCAACTTAGCCGAAGATGCTCGGGCATGTATTGAAGACTTCCCCTTCGATTGAGCAGGTCTTTTTCATGCTGAGACTGATGATATACTAGAGAACATACAAAAGAAACATTCAGCAGCCAGACCCTGGGGAGTTTACTCTTTCTACCAGCAATGTCCTCAGCAAAATCAATGGAAACGGCCCTATAACTTGTAACAGAGGTTCCAACGAGACCCTCCACAACAAACCTCTTACAATCCATACTTCAAAAACCAAAGAGCCAAACCCCGGCAACAGCCTGCCAGTAGGCAGAATGACCGGAAACCCAAACACCATGTTTGACATTCCTCTGACCGAGATCACCACCCACCCCACCAACCCTGCCCTCTGGAAACACCTGCATGGGAATCCATCAGCACACATTCCTGGGTACTCTCCATCATCAAAAATGGCTGCCGCATCCACTTCTTCAAACTTCCTCCGACAACACATGTCGTTACTCCTCCATCACAACCCCTGCAAGAAGAAATAACAAATTTATTTCTCAAAGATGCCATACAACCAATATATCAAAACAACACCGGGGGTTTCTCTCGCTATTTCACCGTCCCCAAAAAACACGGGGGGCTTCGGCCTATTCTAGATTTAAGATTATTTAATAACTACATCATCACCACAAAGTTCTGCATGGTTACTCTAGGATCAGTTCTTTACTTACTTAGGAAAAACAACTGGTTAGCCGTCATAGACCTATACGAGGCTTACTTTCATATTGCAATACATCCCACACACAGAGAATTCCTTTGTTTCCAACTTGGATCACAAGCATACCAATTCAAAAAACTCCCATTTGGCCTTGCAACAGCTCAGAGAGTGTTTACCAAGTGCATGGTGCTGGTAGCCGCCTACCTCAGACTTCAAAACATTCTCATATTTCCATATATTGATGACTAGCTCCTTGTAGCAATCTCCAGTCGCAAAGCTCGATGAGACACCCGTTTCACCCTTGCCATTCTTTGTGATTTCAGTCAATGAACAGAAATCAAAATTAAAACCTACAAGGACTATACATTACATAGGCATGCTCATAGACTCCACACGAGCTCGCACATTCCTCTCTGCAGAAAAGAGACAAAATCTCTTCCCCTTACTTCGCGGCTTCACGGTATTGCTCCTGAGCAGGAATAGGTAAGCATTCCCAGGGAGATGCATTTGTCAGCTGTTGGCCCAAGACTCTTACCTACCTTTTTCTGCCGTTCCCTCTCCTCCACAAAGTTGTCATCCATCTACAACAAGACAAAACCAATGACATCGTTATAGCTCCTTGGTGGCTGAGAGAGACTTGGTTCCTAGTTCTCCGCAGTCAGACATCCGCCATTTCCCCCGCCTGTCACACCTTCTCACACAGAACTCCCAAGTCCTACACCAGGGCTTACCTGTTCTGTACCTGCCAGCATGGAGGATTCTCCCTTGTTAATGAATGTTCTTCACCATGCCAAAAAGCCATCCACAAGGAAAGCCTACTTGTAGAAATGGAAGAAATTTCAATGTTTTACCAAATCTTCCTCATCATTCTCCATCAGTTCATCACTTTCCACTGTGCTCCGCTTCCTCCTACATCTCAAATCCAAGGGCCTCTCCATCTCACCCTTGAGAGTCTACTTTTTGGCAGTAATATCATACCAACCTCCAAATTCTCCAGCAGCAAACATCCAAAAACGAAACATTTTCTGAAAAGTCTCTTTCATATCTACCCCGATACTTGACCTCCCTCTCCACAATGGTTGCTAACTCTTGTTTTGAAGCAGCTTACCAAAGCTCCTTTTGAGCCATTAGCTACAACTGATTTAAGATTCTTCACCTTTAAAACAGCTTTTCTTGTAGCCATCACCTCAGCTCAACGAGCTAGTGAATTGGCAGCTTTATGCTATGACTACCCTTATCTACATTTTTCCCCGGTAAGGCAGTGGTCAGGGAACAGGGGTAAATTACCCCAAATGGGGTAAAAATGAAAATCCTGGGGGTAATGAGGATGAGCAGAGCCCCAATACTGATGCTCTCATATCCAACATAAAGCAACATCATTTCTTCAAAATCTGAAGTTTTCAAGTAAGTTGAAGCTTTCAAAGTAATTTTGAATAGATTCAATAAGATTTTGAATTCAAATAATGTATGATTTCCTTCCTTTCAAATCAAGGGGGTAATGTTGGCGTATATACATTTTTTGGGGGAGGTAAAAGGTTAAAAAGTTCTCTGATCCCTGCGGTAAGGTGAAGTTATTCATGGACATTTCCTTCTTCCCCAAAATTGTCCCTCAATTTCATCTTTCCCAGCCAATTGTCCTTCCTTCATTTTTCCGTCACCTTCTTCAAACCAAGAAAAAATACTCCAATACATTGGATGTCAGAAGAGCTCTTGCTTTTTACCTCCAACGTACCCAAACTTTTAGACAGTTATCTCATCTCTTCATAAGCCATCAGCTACCTACAAAAGGCTGTCAGGTGACTTCCCAGTCTATCTCCAGATGGGTCACCTCTACCATTCATTTGGCTTACCAACTTGCTTGACAACCAGCCCCTAGAGTGGTTCGCTCTCACTCCACCAGGGCAGTGGCCGCCTCTAAAGCCTTTCTCCGTGTCGTAACTCTTCTGGACATCTGCGCCTCTGCCACTTGGGCACGGCCATCCACATTTAACTGTCATTATAGACTTAACCTTCGGCAGAAGCCTGATGTGGCATTTGGACATGTTGTTCTAGCCTCTACCTTGGTGTGACACTTTGCCTTTGGGTAAGACAGCTTATTAGTCACCAGGGTGTGATTCACAGAGGCCATGAAGAAAAACGACAGGTTACCCACCCATCTTTAAGTGGACCTCTGTGATTCACACATCCCGCCCGTCCTTCCCTCTGTCACACCATTGTTTGCTTACTATTAAGCAGTGGGTGACACAACAGAAAGAGGACGCTTGGTGCCAAGGTACTTATATGGGTGGGGAGGGGCATATTCTAATGTTTATTGCTACCTCAGAAGCTCTAGAATCTTCCAATGAGGCACCGCGCATGCGTGAATCACCTAGGTTGTTAATCACAGAGGTCCACTTGAAGAACTACAATTACAGGTGGGTAACCTGTCGATCTGATTCTAGATTGGAAAGTCTCTTAATGCCTTGCCTTTCACATCAGTGTCTATGGGATCTTTGATGTAAATTGCTCAGAAATAACATGGTATGGGGGATGAGATTCATTTGCACTTAACTCAGCAGTATTGCAGCACTGGTTGATCCCAGGTTGTTTATTGTAATTCAAATGTGTATAGCATTTGCAGTAATGAAGAATATGAGAGCTTATTGATGTTACCTGCCTGCTTTTACATAATAATCTTATGGTGTCTTGAAATTGTAATTCACCTTTTTTTCTTTCCATTTGCACAGAATGAAGCCAAAGATCTGAGGTCTCTAAAGTAAGAATGAGTTTCATATATTTTATGCAAGCATTTAGCAAATAGCTCTATACTATTTCTTTTTGTGAGGTGTAATTTTGAAACATTGACCATGTTTGGATAAGATGTAAGCCATAGTTTAAGTTGATTGTGATTTGTGTGTATGTCAAAACCCAAGCCAGCCAACTACTATGGTTTCTGATCCCCCCCCCCGCATTTCTTGTTATATCTAGTTTGTTGCATTGTTCCACCTTCTGCCTGGCTGTAGAGGATTTGAGGCAAAAGCATCTAGAAAATGAAGCTGTTCTCATGAATGAGACAATTGCTAATATTTTCTCAGACCTTGGCATTATTCTGACAAGCTCTCCCTCTATCCTAGTGGAAAGAAAAGAAAAGGGTCCATGGATGATATTAGTTATTTTTCTTGCTGTAGAGGAAGTAGCTTGCTCCCCCTACATGCTGCAAGAGACACTGTTTATGCAGAACTGAGAGCTTGGTCACACTTGCAATAAGGATTTCAGTTGAATTGGTGTTAGCATTATTAAAATTGATTTTAAAATTCCTGGCTACATGTCACTCGGGGGTGCCTAATTTCTTCTGGTCACCAAGCAAGTCATTTTGAAAAGCTTTGCGAAGGCTTTTAATTTTAACATCAATACAAAAGCAATTTGTTTTAAATTGTTTCAGCATATGTGAATGCCTCTGCTGGAGTAACTACTGTCTTTTGAAGTATTTCCACTATTGAAGACAAGAGGCGGAGCAACAAGTATATGGAAGCCTGAGGAATGTGCAAGCACAATAAAGAAAATATATGGCCGTGTATGTTTCAGGGGGCCCATTGCTTAAATGATATAGTGCTAATTTCCATATAAAATGAAATAAAAATATGTACTTCAGACTGCTGGCCCCCAGCAGTCCAAAATTCACAACCCACCTCTTTGCTCTCTCTCTATATATAAAATTCTGTTTTTATTTATGCCCTTAAACTGGAACCACATGCATTCCTTCCTTTGCATCTTTCTGACCCCTCTTTCAAGTCTCCCTCCTTTCCTGGCACCACCATGATGCTGGTGCCCCCATTCTGCTGGTGGCTTCCTGGAAAGACAGCAGCCAGAAGTTCACCCCCACACTCTCTTTCCTGTCACATGAAAGAGGGGCCACCTGTCATGCACTGCACCTCCTCTCTATCCCTCTGCCAGGCTTCCAAGCATTGGCATAACTCTACCATACCTTATTTTTTTAGTGTATTCATTTTTCTCTGAATTATCACAGAAACCCTAAGCAAGATGGGAAAAAATACCAGTTTTCACTTTTAAAAAGTCAAAAATAGAGAAAGAAAATATAAGAGAGGCTGAGAATATTTAAAGCAGAATATGGATGTCATCTTTGCAACATGCCTCAGCTGAAGAGAGGAGAACCGTACAATATACTGGTCTCTTTGGAAGATGTCTTTTATTTATTTATTTATTTATTTATACCCCACATATCTAGTCATTTCAACCACTCTAGGTGGCTTACAACATAAAGCATAACAAGATCAAGACAAAATTTATAACAATTAATTAATTAAATGATTCTGCAAGATGGGGAAAATACAAAATAAATCAAATAAAGAGAAAAAAAAGGAAAGAGGACAGGAATTAACTGGAAGGGAAGGCCTGCCTATACATCCACATTTTTAGTTGGTTCTTAAAAGTACCCAGCGAGGGTGCAACGCGAATCTCCGGAGGAAGGTTATTCCAGAGGCGAGAAGCCACCGCCGAGAAGGCCCGGTTTCTAGTTCTTTCCTTCCGGCCCTCCCGCGGTGTCAGGCTCCTCAGCCTCACCTCCTGGCTCGCGTGGGGGACACGGGTAGAACTAGTTGGGAGTAAGCGTTCCACCAAGTATCAAGGTCCTAAACCGTTTAGGGCTTTATATGTAAGCATTAACACTTTGAAGGCAATGCGGAAACGGATGGGCAGCCAGTGCAGCATGGCCAGAATAGGAGAGGTATGTTGGTATTTTCTCACTCCTGTAAGGAGTCTGGCCGCCGCATTCTGCACCACTTGAAGTTTCTACATCAGTTTCAAAGGAAGCCCCACATAGAGCACGTAACAGTAGTCTAAGTAGTCTAGAAATTACGAGTGCATGTACTAAGGTAGAATGCGCTCCCTTTTCCCAAGGGAGGCAAGTTGGCAAGCTCAGTTGTACTCCCCAGAATCCAGCTTGGCTCCAGGGAGCAAAATCCACCTATGTCTATGTGACTGTATTCTCATTAACTGATAGCAGGCCAGGTCCCAGAAGATATCCCTGTGATACATTTGAGCCATAATGTAATTTTCCCATTTATAAAGGAAGGAGCATTAGAAGCTCTACTTCCAAGAGTAGAGGTATCCAAGGGTCAGCTCCATCTTCTCATCATTATTGGAAAAGCCCCCCCCAATTAGCTCTCTTGTTGTTGCTGCTGCTGCTAGATATGCCAGTTGCATTTGCTCTTATTGCATATGCTAGTTTATGACCACTGATTTGCTAAGAGTGTTTGAACAGAAGACTAGAGTGTTTGAGGAAAATGATTTCTCCTACTCTTGGCCCATCCTTTCCATCTGATCCATCAGCCTAAAGCAGAGGTCCCCAACCCCCAGTCCACAGCCCAGTGCCGGTCCGTTGCCTGAGCCAGACTGGGCCGCGGAGACAGATCTCCCCAGGCATATACTCCCCCCGCACAGCCCCTTTGTGCATGCACATGTGGGCCTGCGCCCACACAAGCGCTCCCCCACTCCTTCACGCATGCGCACAAGTGCCTCAAGCGTCTCCGAGCACCACGCTGTCCATGCATCCACATGAGCACGTGTGCACTCTTGTGAGCGTCACACCGCCCTTCACACATGCACCCGCATGCCCGCACATGCACCTTGGGTTTTGCCACCGAGTTCAGTGATACTCTGATTTAAAGGAGCCAATCTTCATTAAGCACAAACCATTAGAAGCACTTTAGAAGAACTGATCACAGGCCATTACCAAGGTCCCCGGAATTGTTCTGATAAATCTATATTGACAGGAACCTCATACTGGATCACTTCCTCCATCCTACTGTTGGGGCCACCAGGACACTTAATTAAAATGACATGAGACTCTGGGCAGAGGACTTCCTGTGAAACCTTATCTAGGAAATTTGGAGTTAAGAGTGAGACTTAGCAAGCCTTTGAGGATTATGTCTAAGAACAGGTGAAAGGGTAGAACTTTAGCAATATGTTTAGAGCCCAGAATATTTCTAAAATATAATTCATTCTATCCCTTCTACAGTATAAAAGGAACATTCATTATTATTTTTCTCGGTGAGGGAGAAAGTAATGTGCAGCATCCTCATTACATTACTTGTTATATCAATTGGCCAAAATCTTTTTTCATAAATATATGCCTGCAAAAGCTGATAACTTCATTAGGCATGGGCTTTTATGGCTCATAAAAACTTTCATATTCCTCCTCCCCTCCCGCAGGGTTTCCAGGCTTCCAAAAATATATTTGCCTCAGAGCACGCCAAAAGCTGCTGAAGAACTCTGAAAGGATTCTTGTTCTTTATTTACCGTTTTCCCCCGGAAATAAGACAGGGTCTTACACTAATTTTTACTTCAAAAACACATTAGGGCTTATTTTCAGGGAATTTTTTTTCATGTACAACCGTCTACATTTATTCAAATATAGTCATGTCATCTTCTTCTGGTTGCTGCAAAATGGTAGAGGGCAGGATTTCACTTAACTGGGGCTTATTTTTGGGGTAGGGCTTATATTATGATGATCCTGAAAAATCATACCAGGGCTTATTTTCAGGTTAGGTCTGCTTTTTGGGAAACCAGGGTAGAATCATAGTGTCATAGAATAGTGAAGTTGGAGGGGGCCTATAAGGTGATAAAATCCAACTCCCTGCTTGCTGCAAAAATATAGATCAAAGGACATCTGCCAAGTGGTTGTCTTAGTTTCTCTTGAATGCCTCCGGTGTTGGAGCACTCACCAACTCCCAAGATAACTGGTTCCACTGTCTTACTGCTTTAACAGTTAGGAGGTTTTTCCTAACATTCAATCAAGATCAGACTTCCTGTAACTTGAGCCCATTGTTGCATGTACTGCACTCTGAGATGATTGAGAACATATTCTGCCCCTCCTTAGTATGATAGCCTTCTTTTCTCAAGGCTAAACATGGCCAGTTCTTTCAGTCTTTCCTCATAGGGCTTGGTTTCCAACCCCTTGATAATCCTCCTTTGAATTTGTTCCAATTTGTTAGCATCCTTCTTGAAGTGTGGTGTCCAAAACTGGGCCCAATACTCAAGTTGAGGCTTAACCAGTGCTGAATAGAGGGGAACTAGCACCTCACAGGATTTGGAAAGTATACTGTTAATGCAGACTAAAATAGCATTTTCTTATTTTGTAGCCACATCACACTGTTGGCTCATATTCAGCTTGTAATCTACGACAATTCCAAGATCCTTATCACTTGTAGTACTGCCGAGACAGCTATCCTCCATATTGTAACTGTGCATTTGGTTTCTTTTTCCAAGGTGCAGTACTTTGCACTTATCCCTGTTGAATTTCATTCTGTTGTTTTCAGCCCAGAGCTCCAGCCTATCAAGGTAATTTTGAATTCTCTTTCTGTTCTCCAGCTATTCCACCCAATTTTGTGTCATCCACAAATCTGACAAGCATTCCCTGCACTTCCTTATCCAAGTCATTAATAAAAATGTTGAAGAGCACCAGGGCCAGGACTGAGCCTTGGAGTATCCCACTTGTTGCATCCTCCCAGTTGGAGAAGGAGCCGTTAATCATCACCCTCTGAGTAAAATTCTGTAGCCAATTGTGTATCCACCTGACAGTTACAGTGGTGCCCCGCATAGCAACAGCAATCCGTTCCGGATTAATCGTCGCTATCCGGAAACATCGCAGTGCGGGGGAGAAAACCCCATAGAAACACATTAAACTTTGTTTAATGCGTTCCTATGGGGTGAAAACTCACCGTTATGCGAAGATCCTCCATAGTGCCTGTGAGCAAAGCCAGTTTCCTAAGAAACTGTTCTTCTACGGGACAGAGAGGACTCTGAGTGAATGACTCCTTAAACAGGCAAAACCGGATCCAACAATTTTACCCTAGGGCAGCACCTTTACTCATGCACCAAGTCTGACCCGATTTCTTTGAGAACCAAGATATACACGTGAGTTCTAGGGAATCTAATTCTCCTAGTATTCAGGAATATTCTGGACCCAAGGTAGCATTACTTTTCCGTGGCCTTGTAAAGAATAACCATTTAGGTGAACCAAATAACCAATTGTAGCATTTGTTCTATTCAAGAAGCCAAACTCCAGATCTTAAGCATATTTTGCTTTATTAGAAAAATAAAGTTCTGAAAGAATAAAGTTTATGCAAAGCAAGGCATCTATGTACATTTCCATCTCATCCAGTTAGACAAGAAACTGGACTCCTCTAGAAGAAACATAACAAACTTACTAACTAATGAAATTGGGAAAGGCAAGCTTCCCCTGTAACTTAAACAAAAATCTACATCTTAAAATATTACTGTAAATCCCATTGTCCATAGTCCAATCAAGAACATACCAGTCTTCTGGAAAATCCACAATCCATCAGTCCATTAGGAAAAATCCTCTGCTAAAATTCATCAAACAGAAATAAGTCCCTTCTGTGTCTTTCAACCGTCCTCCATGTTCACTTTCTCTCTCCTTTCATAACCAGCTTTCATAACCAAATTCATCACAGTGCCGCCATTTTCGCCGCCTTGGTAAGCGAGGAAATTGTGCGAAAATGGTTGTGGCGGCCATTTTGGACACCTGGCGTCCATTTTGGAACTGCCGATCAGCTGTTCCACAAACATCGCAATGCGAAGATCGGTAAGCGAAACACTGACTGATCATCGCAATGCGATGTTTTGCCTATTAAAACATCGCAATGCGATTGCATTAGCGATCCCAAAAAATAGATCGATATGCGGATTCATCGTTAAACGGTGTGCTCGTTATGCGAGGCACACCTGGCGTCCATTTTGGAACTGCCGATCAGCTGTTCCACAAACATCGCAATGCGAAGATCGGTAAGCGAAACACTGACTGATCATCGCAATGCGATGTTTTGCCTATTAAAACATCGCAATGCGATTGCATTAGCGATCCCAAAAAATAGATCGATATGCGGATTCATCGTTAAACGGTGTGCTCGTTATGCGAGGCACCACTGTATGTCCAGCCCACACCTAGTTAGCTTGCTAATCAGGATATCATGGGGCACTTGGTCAAAAGCTTTGCTGAAGTCAAAATATACTATGTCTACAGCATCCCCCCTGTTTTTCAGGGAGATTGCCCGATCATAAAATGAGATTGATTAGTCTGGCAGGATTTGTTCTTTACAAATCCATGTTGGGTTCTAGTTATTACTGTGTTGTTTTCTAGGTGCTTGCATAGTGACAGTTTTATAATTTGCTCCAGAATTTTCCCTGGGATTTCATCCGGCTGACTGGCCTGTAGTTTCCAGGTTCCTATTTTTTGCCCTTTTTGAAGATAGGATCAACATTCTCAATGGTTCTTAACCAAGATGCAGAAGCAGTCTAAGTGGGATGGAGGGTTTTCATCATTATCAAGAATTCATTCTCGCTCAACATAAGTGTCTTCCTGCCAGTATGACATACCATCCTCAGATTATCCATCTGTTTCCTTCTGATGTGCTAGTAATAGCTTTGGACACTTCGTGTTTCTCTTAATCATCTAGCTGTCATGCCCAACAACTTACTGCAAACATGATAACAAAGGGTCTGCAAATATATAAGTGTCCCAAAGAAAAAGATGCCTTTTTTCCTGTCATGGTGGGACTCAGGTTCTTTCACAGAGTGTTTGGGATTCAGGATACCAAAGGGTGAGAGCCATTGCACTGCCTTCTCTGTGTGATAGCTGATGGTCAGAGAACTGGTGGTGCAGTGAAGCAATGACATTTCTTAACTGCTCGAAGGCAATTTGATATGGTACTTGGGTATTCGCAGAAGGACATCAAAGCAGCATCAGGCAAAACAAACCATAGTTCCATTACTATTCTGCAGACTGGGTCCTGGTTTTTAAACCAACTGTGGTTAAATCAAACTGCAATTTACATTACGGTGCCACTATTACTCCTCACTTCAGTATTATTTGATAGGAATATTGAGTGGCCAGAATCCTGTTCTGCCTGTACAGTGGAAATGACATAATCAGTAGTAGACTGCAGCTGTTTAAAGATTTTTTTTCCAAATTAAAGAAGAGTGCATTGTTCACAAGCTGTGAGACCAAGTTGCTTTCACCCTAAAACTGAAAAAGGAAGTCTTTAATCAACAGCAATCTCCTGCTGACAACCAGTCATTTCTGTAGTACAGATGGACTTCACCCAACAGGACTTCAGCTAATATGGGCTGCTTTTGAAGAAACTTTTTCTAGACTTTGGTGTTCTAATAATCAACCCCCAAGCCCTTCAGAAGTAAATAAGATCTCTTAGGATAAATTGGTTCCTTAGAATTATCTCCATAGTAAGAGGGGTCAACAGAACCAAAGAAGCAGTACTCTGCATCACTTTCCTCCATGATTTTTCTCTAGACATGCTTATCACATTTTGGAAAGAAAAGGACTTGAAATTCCACCTCTGAAAGAGCAAGTGGAGAACCTAAAATCCCAGCTTGATGTTCTGAGCTCAAACAGGAAGGACATTGCTCTTCAAGCTGTCAGGGAAGTACTGGAGCGATATACCAGCAAAGGCATTACAACATGGGTAAGAGGAAATAATGAGATTTTATAGACAGATGTCATAGTTTTTGTGGGCTACTTTAAACTAAAGGTGATAAATCTTTAACAGTACTACAAAAATACAATAAATCAAATCCTGACAAAATCCTGCTGTTAACACACACTTCAGTAGTCATGCTGCACTATGTGATGACTGCTGCTTCATGCAACTTCGGATGGCTTTGCTGAGCAGCTTAGTAGAGAAATAGACAACAGCAGAGGAGAGGTTGGCAGGTATAACAAAATGGAAGCAGGGATGGGATGGGAAAAAACCTCTTTTTACTCTCCCTGATTTCCAAAATATTGTGTAGGAGAGAAAGTGTCCCTCTCTAGTGTTCGCCTCCCCCCTTTTTTTGGCCCTTCAAATCACTAGTCAGGAACATAGGCCTGAGTCCCTGTCACAGTGAGACGTATGGGCCAATCTGCTCCATATCTCCAAGTACTTCTGCCACTTGGTGCACATAAGGTGCAGATTCACTATTTCTGCCCTAACTGAGTTAATACAATGCAGGAGAATTACAACCATGACTTATTATTGCTTTACAGCAGTGCCTTATATCTTTCTGCTTTCTACACAGTTGTAAATTCTTATGATGATGACTGATTTTTAAATTATCTGTTGTTCACTGACAGAGTGTTGAAAAGATGCTCAAAAAATTTATGGAAAAGCTGGATGAAGATTACGTTCAAATGCCCGATTATGCACTCAAGTCAGCAGGTATTAGTGGTTCAGGTATTATCAGACTCCATGTGCAAATTCTATGTGCAAGTATTATCAAACTTGCATATAGAATTTGGGTATATTTGCTATTCCAATACTGTAAACACTTTCAACCTTAGTACGAAGACTGTAACACTTTAGGAAGCCACTTCAGTGCACCTGCTAGCCAGTAAGTATTATGGTGTATGTGGTCAGATTTGGTACCAGATGCAACCTCTAACTACATTCAAAAGCAGCTCATTGTTTGAAGGCTGCTGTAGTCATGCCTTAAGACAGGAATAACTAAAATGTTTTGTCATTGTCAAACTGCCTCCCCACATCCATCCCTTGCTCTTTGGAGGCAGCACTTTCTGCCACCTCATGATGTCAATGGCACACTAACCTCAGTCTCCTCTGCCTGCTGTGCCTGGCATATATATGGCTGTAGTGTCAACATATGCCAGAATTGGTCAGGTGGGTCAGATCCTCCCCCTGCTCACTCAGTGAGAACTAAAGTGAGGACTAACTGGATGGGTCAGATAGGCCTCACCCAGGCCTATCTGACCCATCCAGCTAGTCCTCACTTTAGACAAAATCTCAGACCAAAATCTCCACCCCATGAAACAAAAACAGAGAAAGCCTGTGCCCCTCCCCCAGACCAAAAAAATAAGGAATCCAAAAAGATAAAGGAAAGAAGGATCAAACAACAAACAACAAACAACAAACAACAAACAACAACAACAACAACAACAACAACAACAACAACAACA